TGAATTTCCAGGTTAACTTGAAGAGTAGCCATCGTAATCTATTGAGATCTATAATCCATTAATATTGTATGTTTCATGTATTTATCCTTTAAGATCTTGTTAATTTTTTTTTATGGGATTTACTGAGTCTCTGGGAACAAAATGATCACTAGCTTAGGCAGAAAACGACATGGAATGGTAGAGCATACATCAGTGTCTAAACAATGAGATACTTTGTCAAGTATGTACTTATCAACTTGCCTCAATTTCCTGTCTCAACCACCCCATTTCCCTATTCCAAGACAGCAAGTGCAACCCGCATGAGAATGAGGGGAAGGAAGAAAAAGATAAGAGTGGGAGTGGAAGGGGGAGGAAGAAAAGAGGGGAGAGAGGAGGGAGGGGAGGGAGTGGGGGGGCAGAGAGAGGAAGGGGAGAACCAAAGGGTAGCAGAGGAAGAGGAGAACAAATATGGTTATTTTCTTTCTCCATTGAAGCTCTGGGTTTGAAAATTATTTCTCTTTTACCAGCTTCTTCCTGCCAGTGTTAGTGACTACTCTCAGGCTTCACTAAATCTCTGACAGGTGGGCTCTAGGTGTCCCTGGGTGTTTTTTACTTGGTGTTAAACGCCCATAAGTTTATTCATTGCTTTATTACACCTAAGTTGCCAGCCTTAGCCTGCTGTTTGAAAGCCTTATTCTTTTTATTCCTATTATTTTCTGAGGCAGAATTGACTTTGCTAGTAAACACTTGCAGACTGCTATGTATGCATGGGCTGAGAAAGCATAGCAAGTGCCACGGGAAGTAAAACAGTAAATCCTAGCTAGTCCTTGCCCTCAAGGGCATGCAGGGTAGAGAAGCCTGAATGTGAAACTGCAAGTATCAATGAGGCAGACAGAAGCAGTATGGTGGGTTTGAGCAGGAACTTGTCACTGGGCAAAGTGGATACTGGATGTGCTTGGGGTCTCTCCAGCATTGTTACTACAGAAGGGACCCCCCTCTAGTCATGAAGATGGCTTTTAAAGGGCTTTGAAACTCAACCTGTAAGTTCTTCACATGTTTCCAAGATGTTACCATCTTTGTAGTTCTTTGGGAGGCCCAGCTCAGATCAACTGCTTTAGGTAAATTTAAGCCCAATTCCCCCCAAGTTGAGTTTTAAAATATGGGGAGAAAAAACATGAGGCTTCGTATGTAAAGTGAGCTCTGTTCTCAGAACTCCTAATCAAGTCTGAGTAGAAACCAGTGGGCTCGAATGACTAAGGGAAAGTCCGTGCCAATAGAATCCAATTCTAACTGGTTACCTGCTTAGATTCTGAAAGCCTTGTGTTTATAAGTTTAGAAATAGGTTCCTTACTTCCGTGAAAACTCAAGCCAATTCCCCCACTAGGCATCCTGTGGGATCACCCTATGGGGAGCCTTGTTACATACTTGGTTATTTTAGGTTGGTTACATGCTTTTCTACCAAAGTTGGGTTTGGAAATTTGCCCTGCTTCCCACGTGGTTGAAGCAGGCCTTTAAAACCTCTAAGACACTCATCACCAATAAAATGCCATTATTAGAAATAAGTATAGATTTCTGAAAAAGGAACTTAAAGCAAGGGGGAAAGACCACTGGGTGTTGCCTTAGTTGTTTTTTAGCCTTGTTTCTCCTCCACTACCTAGACCAGAAATGGAATTTTCCCCACAGGCATCACAGAATGAAAAATCTTCCCCTTCTATTGAATTCTCACCTACTTTCTCTGATAGGAGATCATAAGACTCGTTTCAGTCCTTCATACGCAGGAGAAAGAATGCTGTACAGAAGCCAAGAATTTAAACAGGCCTGCTGGGCTTTCCTCACTTGGTCTATTAGCATTAGAGTTTTTTTGTTCAATCATTTATCTGTGTCAGTGTTTCTCAACCTGTGGGTCGTGATCCCTTCACGGTCAAATGTCCCTTTCACAGAAGTCACCTAAGACCATTGGGAAGCATATTTATATCACAATTCATAACTAGAAAAATTAGTTATTAAGTAGCAACAAGAGTAATTTTATGATTGGGATCATCAAGCATGAACTGTGTCGAAGGGTCACTTTAGGAAGGTTGAGAACCACTATGTAGTTTCTATGCTTCAATCGTGATCCTGCAAAGACCTCTCAGTGAAGCACAGGGTAGGGAGAACTTTTAAGTTGCTGGATTATGTGGCTTTTAAGAAGCTGAACAAGAACAAATCCATACACCTAGAGGACAGATTACCCCAAGTTGATGGGGACAGAAGCTGCAGGTAGCATCCTTCCAGACATTATCCTATCTACCTCTTCTGGCTGTTTATATTCTTTACAATAAACCTGTAATTGTGTTTTCTTGAGTTTTGTGAGCTGCACTAGCAAACTTAGTTACTTTTCTACTGTGATGAAACATCATGACCAAAAGCAACTTGGGAAGAAAGGGTTTATCTTACAACTCTTAGATCACACTCCATAACTGAGGAAGTTGGGTCAGGAAGTCAAGCCAGGAACCTGGAGGCAGATACTGAAGGTCATGGAGGAACACTGCTTACTGGCTTGCTCCCTATGGCATTTGATCAGTTTCCTCCTCCTCTTCTTGTTCTTCTTTGTCTTCTTCTTCGTCGCTGTCTTCTCCTCCTCCTCTTCTTTTTGGTTTTTCAAGACAGGGTTTCTCTGTGTAACAGCCCTGACTGTCCTGTCCTGGACCTGTTTTATAGACAGGCTGGCCTCAAACTCAGAGATCCGACTGCCCTCTGCCTCCCAAGTGCTGGAATTAAAGGTGTGTGCCACCACTACTATGACCATCCAGCTGATCAGCCTTATGCAACCATAGACCACTTGCCCAGGGGTGGCACTGCCCCCAGTAAGCTGGGCCCTCTCACATCAATCAGTAATCAAGACAACATTGTGGGATATTATTTTAACCCAGTGAAGGTATGTTACACTTGTGTATGCTGCAGAATATTACTTTAACTGTGTAAAGATGTGTTACATTCGTTTATGCTGCATTTGTTTAACTATGTAAAGATGTGTTACATTTGTTTCACCTAGCCTGACTAAAGCACCTGATTGGTCTAATAAAGAGCTGAATGGCCAATAGCTAGGCAGAGAAAGGATAGGCTAGGTTGGAAGACAGAATAAACAGGAGAAGAAATCTAGGCTCAGGGGAACAAGAAGAGAGAATGTGAGATAGAGGAACACACCTGGGGCCAGAAATCAAGCAGCTGTCAGCCAGCCAGACATAGAGACATCAGGAAAGTAAGATATACAGAAAGAATAAAAGGTAAAAAGCCCTGAGGCAAAAGGTAGAAAAAAAGAAACAGATTAATTTAAATTAAAAAGTTTGCCAGAAAGGAGTCTAAGCTAGGCTCAGCATTCATAACTAATAAGAAGTCTCCGTGTCATGATTTGGGAGTTGGTTGGTGGCCCCAAAAAAAAAAAAAGCCTGGCACAAGATAATAACCTATAGATTTGCATACAGGCCAATCTTATGAAAACATTTTCTCAGTTAAGATTCCCCCTTCCTGACAGGTCTAGGTTTATGTCAAATTGACAAAAACCAGCACACTGATCAAGTCTATTAAGGGGTTCATAGGAACCCTGAAGGACAGCTAGTTGGTCAATTGTGGACTGGTGACTACCATCAGTCTGTTGGCATTGAGACCACAACCTGTTTGACTACCTCCAGGGCATCTGAACTGGATTGGTGTTTCTGCGGAATCAACTGTTTGCTTGCTGGTGAGGTGAAATCCCTATGCATTCTGAGATCACAGAAATGAAGTGTTGCCAGCAATAGTAACAGAAACTTTATTTCTTCCTTTATCTTCAGAATTATATAAAATATCTTAAGGATTTACTGTAAAATTTTTCTACTTATTAGTCTACACGTTTAAGTGTGTGGACATGGGTTTACCATGTGTACATATGGGAGTTAGAGGACAACTCTAAGGTCAGCTCTCTCCTTCCACCTTCCCGTGGGCTCGGGGATTGAACTCAGGTTGTCAGGTTCTATGCTACTAGCACCTTTACCAGCCATCGAACTGGCCCTGAACTTACTTGTGTTTGTGAGAAACAGTTGATATTTGAGAGCACAAAGATGACCCAGTTTTCTTCTTTATATTATTTTGTGTTTCTGAACTTAGATGGTGAAGAACTGTGACCTGTTACCTCCAAATAAGTAAACAAATTAACTTATGAATACTGGAAGTAAGCATATTTAAAATGTTAATAAGAAAGATTATAAAAACATTTTACAACTCATTTTAATACATTCATATCTAAAACTACTCTATAAAGTCTCGATATATTAAATAGTCTAGCATGGTCCTCCCAAGGTTGTAGAACTATGAAAATAGAGCAGGAAGAAATCTTGGAACCAGCAGAATGCTTGAATGCCAGAGGCTGCAGGAGTAATAAATTCTACTATACCTGACAGGTGACTTATACCAAGAGTTACTGACAGCACAAGACTTAGCTTCTAAGAGTTAAAATGTTTATGTAGAAAGAGCTGACAGCTGGCAGTTAATAAGTGCTGGTGTATGCACTGTACACCTGTAAAGTAATTACAGCACCAGGAGGTGGAGGCAGGAAGATCTAAAGTTTGAGGTCATCTTGGGCTACAAAGCAAGATAGGACAAAGGGCTGGCAGAACAATGTTCTCAGCTAAATGATGGGGGAAAACTGGGTCACAAAGGCAGAATTATCACTGGTGCCAAGATTTGCAATCTCTATCATTTTTCAAAGACAGTAAGAAAAATCCAAATTATTCTTACTAAAAAACAAAATTATTAAGGTAAAACTTGGTTGTCAGCATTACCTTATCAGTCTGACTTTATTTTTGAAAGGTCTTAAAATTTATATTCAGGACAAATATAAATAAAATGCCCAAGATTTAAGGTATCACCTATATTTCCCTGAACCAACCAATTGTATGAGGTAGGTACACTGGTACCTTTCTCTCTGATGTGTTATTGCATGCCATCCACAGCATAGCCTGTAACGTACAAGCACACTATCATTAAGATATAAACAACAGATATTCCAAAGCAGAGAGGAAACTTTAATTAACGACTCCATTCCCATTATCCTTCAGGTGGCCAGAATCCTTGGTCCCTGCAGCACTGACCCAGCAGTTACACGGTAAAGATTCTCTCTGTGAAGCACCACCACACTTGCTCAGTTAGCTACAACTTTCTTCTCTTAGCAATCATTAATTTCTTAAGAAAATTTGTTTGTAAAGCTTCAGGTGTTAAAATATTCTAACAGTAAATTTATTCCATTATTTCACACATAATTAATAGTATAAAATGTTCTCTCTAAGGAAACCTAAAATATACTATGAATATAGCCAAGTTCTACTCTTAACAAAAATCATTCAATCAGTTTTTTCCAAACTCATTTCTCCAGAAGGTCAGTCCTTAAGGACTTCTGGAGTCGAGCAATGTTGGCATCCAATGCTGCCAGGCCATTTCTGAAGTCTTGTTCATCATGAGAGGTGAACGTCGAAAAAGAGGAGATGCTCCAGTCTGATGTCAAGTCTGAATTCAGAAAGCTGACATCACTGACGATGTTGCCTCTCACTGGAACACCAGGGCTGCGACAAGCTGATAGCCCATGATGTGTGGCCTGTTCTTTTGGGTGCTCAGTACTAGTACTAGTACCACCAGCAGCAGCACCAGGGATCTTATCAATTGCTTCCTTTATTCTCCTGAGGAGCTGCATGTCCTCTGTGTCAGATGTTCTGGAAAGATTCCCAGGAGCATCTTCTCCTTCATTTCGTGAAGAACAAACTAGTGGTGCACACGGTTTATGTTCTCTTTTAGAGGCATGTGTGCTGCCGCCGCTTAGCTGTGTTGTAGCAACACTTTTCATTGGCTGGGGAGACAGCCTCTCAGAAAGTGGCGAATGCTTTTTAGAAGTGCTTCTTGCAAAAGGAATGTAAAGTGTACTGTCCACGTTACACTCATCTTCTATTAAAGCGATAGTTTCACATTCTGTATCAGAATCCTCCACTAAAACATCAGAAGCCATTCCAGGTGCAGACCCCCCACCCACTGCCCTAGTGTCCCTGTGTGGAGGGCCCTGTAAGGGCAGCACCTTTTCACACAGTCTGTGTGGCTCTGTGGCTTCCTCATTTGTGAGGAGCTCTGAATGTGCAAAGCTGTGATTTGTCTCCAGTTTATTTAGGTAGCTCATTACCGAAGTGTGGGGAGGGGCTGGGTCCTGTTGAAGTTGCTGATCATAAATATTCAGAAGTGACTTGGTGAGGTTACTCCCCATCTTGCAGCGGGCAGAGTCCACACTGAGATCTGAGAGCAGTTTCGCCATACTATTCTGTAAAGTTCTGCCAAGAAGAATGCAGCACAGTAATTACTATTTGTCTTACCCAAGTCTTTAACTCATTTCTAATACCTCTATCCTTTAAAAGAAGAACTCAAGGCAGGTATAAAAAATTAGTGTTTGACAACAGAAAATTAAAATAACCAATGACAATGATCTCCATTGATATCAGTCTACTATCACACATAAAAGTAAAAGCTCATCATGTTTTCTAACGGTATAGAAATACTTTATTCTTGAGCAACACTGCAAACTGAACCTTTGAGTTAAAATCAGCCTAGTAAGTGGTATGCTAAAGTAAAGCAGAATTACTTCATTAAATTAAGTATATCCATAACACTAAGCACATTATATATAACACATAACTTACATATAATGAACATCTATTTCTCAAAAAGTTTATAATTAAAAATGAATCATTTAGAATGATGAGCTTCCAGAATCATTAAAGGAACAGTCAGGTCTACTGGATTTTAGCCGTATAATTACTGACTACCCTAAAACGTTTAAAAGTATTTGAAAATCTAAAGATTACCAAATGTCTCAAAAGAAAACTGATTTTTGTAAGGTTTCTATAAAAGTATAAAAATTATGATATATTTATTTATTTGGGAAGAGGCTGAGTAAAAAATGAAGACATTTTAGGGCCTGTGACCAAATCCCTCATTTTACCGATGAAATGAAAAACAGAAAGTCAAGAGGTGAAGCAACCTACCCAGTATTATATGGAAAGGGACTTAGCACGTTAGACACACATCATGAGTTATTCTGTGCCCCCTGACAGCTCTATTCATGACAACTTTATAACTGAGGCTTAGAGGGTTAAATAATGTGCACAGGATTACTCAGCTAATATGTGGCATAGACGAAGGTCCATTCAGGTCTCTTTGGGAGCTTAACTACTTCACTATGCAGTGTCCAGTCCATCAGAGCCAATTGCTTCCCCATAATCTACAACCCCATGGTTTAAAAAAAAGCCTTTAAATAGATCTGGAATCTCTAATGTGAAGTAGAACAAAGCATTAGAAATTAAAAGAAATGGGGGGAAAGGCAAAATAAGGGGGAGGGAAAAGAGGAGGTCTGTGTGGTTCTGGAGTTTATAAAGACATCTAATAAAAGGCTTGGGTTACCCCACAGGAAGCGAGTTTACCTGGTTAGTTCTCTAAGCTGAGCAACCTCAGCATCACGCTGGCGTAGTGTTATTCCCAGTATCTGATTTTCCTTTTCTGCAGTCTCTAGTTTAAACTGAGAGTTCTTCTCATTGGCCAAGGCTTCCTCCAGTTCTAAAGCAAACAACAACAAAAGCCCTTTCAGCTTCCTTACTGCTTTAGAAACAAAGACTACATCTACAGTTCAAATACACACCAATTTTTACCCTTGTCATCTCACTGTCAAACTGCTGTTTATTCTGAAGAAGACTTTTCTCTTTGTCTTTAAACACAGTCGTTAACCTTTTGTTTTCATCTCTCTGGTTTTCTATCACTTTTAAGAGCTCTTCATTTTTACTCTGTAGTAACTCCTGACTCTTCAGTGACTCTTGTAGTTGACTTTGCAGCGACATATTCAACGACTGAAGGGAAAACACTATAAGATAAACATCACACAATTGTTTCCCAATTTTTAAAACATCTAAGAAATACCTGTTTTTAGAAAAAGAAAAGCTCCTAAGTTCACTGATTTCCCTCAATAGTAACAATGTACAAACAATGCTATATAAATACTAAATATATTTTAAAAAATTAAATGGCAGGAGAAAAGTCTTTTTATTTTCCAATTGATATTTCAGTCATAAGTTGTTTTTACCTTTAAAAACAAATGAATACATGTGCAAAGTATCTCAAACTTCACAAAATGCCAAAGATGCCACCAAACAATTCTCAATTATGGCAGATAATTTTTTTCATAAGTAGTCTGTGTTGACAATACTATTCTTCAGACCCTGAAATTTCTCTTTCCAGGCCCTTCTGGCATTTGATGTTCCCATTGACAAATATTCTGTTATTCTGATGGGCTGCATTTGTATATGATTTGGTGTTCCTTCATTCTAGTTCCAGCAACTGAGGAAGGAGGGAGGATAACTGAGCCTAGACGTCTAAGGGAGCCTAACAACACAGTAAGATCCCCATTTAGAAGAAAACAACAGAAAAAATAAGAAAAAAAAAGGTCATTTGACAGTATCTGTCAAAACAGCAGCTATATATACATTCTGGTTTACTAATTCTACTAGAAATCTACCCTGCAAAATGCATATGTATGTGCACAGACATTGGAACGAATATTTTCATTTTTCATTTCACTGTTGTTCATATTCTGGGAAGGCTGAAAATACCCAAATATCTTTCAGAAGACCTTAAATATAGTAGAGGCAACAAGCAGAGAACATAAGTGCTTATTTAAGATATATGCATAGTTATTAACTTGTTTCCTCTAGATAGGCTCTTACTGCATACACTCTGGCTGGGGTAGTATTTGGCGTTGCCCAGGCTGGCCTCAAACTTGTAGCAATCCTCCTGCTTCACAAATACCGGGATTTCAAGAATACCCAATAGCTGTTTAAACTGTAATACAGTTACTCCCAATTTTAAAGTAGCTAAAAGCCCACTTAGACAAAGGGACTGAGAGCACAAGTCTGCACCAACATTTCCAGAGAGACAAGGGTACCGGGTTCAATCCTTAAAGCTCTTTTACGCACATTCAAGGTTACCAGGTGCCTTTGGAGTTTTCTCTTCTTCTCTGAGGTGCTGATTCAAAATTCTCAGTTGCCTAAAGGAAATAATAAAGATCTATAAGAATCCTAAGCCCATTTTACAGTATACTATCCTGGAATATTTAATTATGTAAAGATGTGTGATATTATTTCTCCTGCCTTTGTTAACAATGTAAAGATATGTTGTATCTGTTTCATCTTGCTTGCCTAAGACACCTGACTGGTCATATATTAACAAAGTTGGAATACATAAATAATTTCATTATTAGATGTTGGTATCAACTGTCTTCATGATATACACCTGCTTCACAAACAAGAATATGTAAGTAGGTACTGATCAGGACAAAGCAAAAACTCTCTCGTATTTAGTATCTTTCCAGAATTGGAAACTTTCTGTAGTATTTGATTTAGTTTCTGAATATAAAATGATAATACCCTTGCCAAAAACCATTCACAGTATTAATTCTGGCTAGATTAAAGAGTAGAACACAAAATACACCAGTAACACAAAATTCACCAACACAAATTTTATAATGAAATATAAATAATCTTTAACTAAGGAAGGCATCTCTAATCAAGATTTAAAATCTAACAACCATCAAGTAAAGAATACAGAGTCAAACACATCACAATTTGAAGCTTGTTTTAGAACTGAAGTCCTGGACAAAGAATAAGCAATTCATCTAAGAAAGCTAATGATTTATAAGCATTTAAAAAATGCTTAGCTTGAAGACGGGGGATGGTTTACCACAGAAATAAAGGACCTGGGTTTGGATTTCTGGTGCCCACATGAGAAGCTGGGAATAGTGGCATGACACTCACTACTGGCCTCGACATATACACATATACATAAATGTACAGAACACAAACTAAAAAAACATACAAAAATTAAAATAAAAGGGAATCGCTCTTCATTAGTGACAGTTTAGGGAAATTTTCTCAGTCTGTGGGAATTTATTTTAACCATTTGGATGATAGCTTGGCAACATCCAAGCTATAAAACATGTCATTTTTGACAGTTTTTAAAATTAACTTCATTTTATTGCATGGGTGTTTTGCCTGCATGTCTGTGTACCACATGTATGCCTGGTGTCAGTGAGGCAAAGGGATGGTGTCAGATACCCTGGAACTGGAGTTAGAGATGGTTATCACTGTCATATGGGTCCTGGGTAGCCAACCTGGGCCTTCAGCAAGAGTAGTAAACACCCTTAACTACTAAGCACTCTCTCCATCTCCTGTACAAGCTAGTTTTACCTATAGGTTATTTACTCTGAGAAATAGCTACATCTATATGCAAAAGCATGTAAAACATAGAAATATACAAGCTATATACTTGACAGGAAAATGAAAACTTAAGACATAAGTTGTGGTTCATCCATATGATTATATACATGTAGGGCCCTGCATGGACCCCTGAGGTACCTTGAGCAAGCCTGAAGCTGTTGGCTGGAACATATTACCCCAGAGTTGTTACTGGTACTCTTCCTGATTTGTTAACACACATCTGCTGGGGAGGAACTAAGCCAGAGAACTTGCACGCTTGACCCTTGATTATTTTCCTCTGTGCTGTGAGTCAGTGGAAGCCTGCTCCTTCCCCTCAATAAACGGCATTCCGGCATTCCTATTGCACAAATGACCCCATGTCTTTTATTTAAATCTCTAGGCCTTTGGCTAATTAATGGAACAGATTGTAGCGCGGGCACCAAAAAGGACTTGGGGACAGCTCAGTGATATGGCACTTGTGAGGCATCTGCAAGGTCTTGTGTTAACTATGCACTAATGGAAAAAAAAGAAAACAAAACAAACAAACCTCCAAGACACGGTAGAAAGTAAAAAGCAATGAGAGGTAGATAAAACACTGATTTTTTTTTTTAAAGGGTTCCCTTCAATAACAAAACATGCAGATCTGGAAAAGGCAGCACAGAGTGTTGACCAAGAATATAAAACAGAATGCCTCTTTTGGTGTCTTCCAAAAAACCAGCAGGTACCGTATGTTGTTGTTTTTTAATAATCTTTTTGCATGTTGCTGTTAAGGTTCTTCTCTTTTGAAACATTAGCCAAGGTGAACTTTCTATCATTCATTACAAGCCTCCCTGCTCACACTTGTCCTCTAAGTATGATACATTCCCATTTGCCCTTAAAAAACATGGTGTGAAGGGCCGGGGAAAGGCTCGGTGGGTGAGAACTGTTGTCTAAGTATGTGGTGCTGAGTTTGAAACCCACCATGAAAAAAGCTGGATATGGCTGTGTATAACCTTAACCCCAGCACCTGGAGGTGGAGACAGGAGCTCACTAGCCAGCCAGCCTAGCAAAAAAACAAAAACCCCCAGCAGTCTTCTGGTTCAGCTCCAAGTCCCATCTAAGATGGAGAGCCACAGGAAGGCACTCAACATCTTTGTCTATTTTACACGAGTGTGCCTGTGCAGAACATTGCTACTCTCTCCTCCCCACTCTCTCTTACAGAGAGAGCCAACTACAAACTATGGTACACTGTTCAAGACTCACTGCATTGTGTGGGGGGGGGTGATTTTTATCTTAAGAAGTCTATTATAAAGCCTGGTATTGGTAGCGTACACCTTTAGTTCCAGCACTTAGGAGACAGGCAGGTGATCTCTGTGAGTTTGAGGCCAGCTTGATCTATAGAGTGAGTTCTAGGACAGCCAGGGCTGTTACAGAGAAACCCTGTCTTCAAAAAACAAAACACACACACACACACACACACACACACAGAGTCTATTTTAGACCTATCTTCATCCTTGCTGCTCCTTGTTCTGATTATTACAAACATTCTCTCCCACCATCTTTTCTGACTGTGACTTGTATCTTAGTTTCCTTGTTACTTCCTTATTGCTTCTCCCTAGGGTTTTTTTCGTGGCTGCTTTTCGTTTGTTCTTTCCTTGTAAAGCGGTAATTCCCCACAATTACTCTTGTGCTCATGGTCTATAACTGCTTGGTGAATTCATCAGTTAGATTCTGAAAACAAATTACTTGCATTTAGCAGCCATCTTTTCCAGAGCCTACAAGGACAGACCCACAGTCAAAGCTCTGTAAAAGTGATCAAATTCCCAAATCTACATTTGTGGCTTGGATCTTGTTCTTATGTTCTCACTTACTCGTTTCTCTATACAACATTGTAAATCTAAATTTTAACTCACTTGCTCTCCCACCATCTCTCCTAACTACAAAATAAAGTGTGAAAGGGGACAATCAGACAAATGCACTCTTCTCTAGGAGGTCCCATCTGGAGGTACTATTCTACCATCTGTCAAGAAGACAAGCCAAGCCAGGATGTGGTGGTGCATGGCTTTAATCCCAGCACTTGGGAAGCAGGGCCTCTCCATGAGTTTGAGGCCAGCCTGGGCTATAGAGCAAGTTCCAAGACAGCCAGGACTACACAGAGAAACCCTGTATTGAAAAAAAAAAAAAGATAAGACAAACATCTTAATGGCATCCTCAGCTCTGCCCGCTTGCTCTCAAACTGTGTGCTCTGTCTGGATTCTAATGAGCTTATACTTGAGTCTGAGTTCAGGAAGTGATCATAAATTCCAAGTCATCTTATACAGATTAAGGTACTCTGTAGACTGATGGTTCTTAATACGAGATAATATTCTACTCTGAACCTCCATCCAGGATCTTATGGGATGTACTAGGGGCTTCTATAGTTAAATTCAACAAAGCATTACAGATTACAGATAACTTGTGGGTTATAAATGGAGACAACTGTGTTTCAAATATCCCTTAAGATCTGGACATTTTAAAATGCCCATAATATCATACAAGCACGACACCTAGCAGTTTTTCTCTTTGCCACAAGATGGCAATATACTTCAAGTTGTGTGGGGGTTGGGGGGAAGGGAAATGATCCATTTTCTAGTTAAAAACATGTAGTTTACAAATGTCTACAAAGATAAAAATGAAAATCACGTCTAAATAAGCCTACCAATTCTAGTTTTTGTTTATAATTAGATTTATGAATGATTCTTTCCAAATAAAGATTACAAAATAACATATTCTCATACTAGAAGTCTCAGTCTAGTCTAAGGAACTAACAAATTCTTCATTTTTCAGTAATTTTATCCTGTAAAAGGTCAAGTAAATAACAGTGGCAAGAGGACATTATACAGTCTTTCCCCCCTAAGGATAGACAGCTAAAAAGCTCTACTGTCAAATCCAAAGAAGTGGATATCAGTTAATTTTTCTAAGTTACCCTTATAGAAATGAAAAACAACTGGTAACAAATTGAAGAATAAGCCTCCTTCTTATGAGTGGTTTATAAATGAACTCCTACAGCAATTCTAAAATGCTCCGAGGAATGGAAATGAAATCCAATGATATTTCCATGGTGACAATGCTAAAATGATAATCTTCTCAGACTAGGCTCTGGTATGCTTAAGAACTCAATTATTTGATTATCACTCTTTTAAACAATAGGCATTTTTATTATTATTCTTTTGCTTTGCGAAATAGAAGCCCACAGCTAAGATCTGGTGTTCCAAAATCAAATCACCTTGGAGTTTAAGTCTTGATTCCCTCAATTCCTAAATACACAACTTTGAGCAAAGAACATAACTTTTCTGTGCCTTGGTTTTCTCCCCTCTAATTGAAAATGGCCCAATACTTTATAGAGCTACTAGGAGGACTCAAGTGACAGCACATATAAAGAGCAATAGCCCAGCACATGACAAATGTTCAAAAAAATGTTAGGAGTAGCTACTATCCATTCCATATTACTTATTCTTGATTTTAATTTTGAAATATTAACAATGTTACAGGGATTAGATCCTCAGATTACAGTCCTCAGATCAGGACTGATGACAGGATGACAGTATTATTAAATGCAGCAACTATCCACAAATGATCTCTTGACTATCCTAAACAAGTAAGTCTCACTAGACGTCATCTCTGCAGGCTACAGACCCATGACTTTAAACTACTCTCCAACTAGGAGTTCTTTACTGCTTTCAAATTTCTTGTAGGTTCCTGCAAGTCCCATCTAACCTCCTGGTGAAAAGCATCTGAAAACGAACTCCAGTGCAAAGTACACCAACAGATCCTGGACTGTAAGCTTTAGTAGTCATCCCAGAAATACTCAAAGTTAAAACAATACAGATAATATACGGGGGAATTTCCTCTACATTTCAAGATTACCTCACTGGTTTTGATCGTTCTTAAACAAATTAACAATATAATTCCATTAAGTTAATATGGCTAAAAAGAAAAAGCACATAGGAATTCAAGTAAACTTTGTCCTATGTCTCAGTGTGGCAGGGCTACCAGCACTCAGCTTCCCCTGTCAGGTTCTTGTCCCTGACCACATGCTCCAAACATTTGTATTGGGAGGGAGCGTTTGACTGACAAAATGTTAAGGACAGTGAGATGATTATGTCTGGTCCAAGACATGTAAGATTATTATATTCATAATCCCTGTCCCCATCAGTTTCCTGTAAAACATACTGAGACAGTGGCTTCATAAAGTAAAAGGAATCCCAGATTCTGAGTCAGGATGAAAAAGAGCCTTCAGTGACCCATGATGATCTTGGAAAAAGAAAGAATAACTTTTTCTGTGACTTAGATGTTTATTATTGTAAACTAACTTAGATTAACACAGAAACTACATGAAGCAGCTACCTCTTCCTAGGTACATGCTGACAAGTGACATCAAGGATAAACTAGGTGGGAGAAATCGTATCTTAGTGGGCAGAAGTAATAGAAAGTTGGAGATTGTAGGAACGTTTGGGAGATGAGAAAAGAAAGGCTGTAATCTGCTTTCCGTATGGAGCCCTAGCTATCTCACTTGGCATCTGTGTTCTGGCCGTGGGTCACCTTTACCTCTAGACAACAATATTCAAAGAGCATGTCTTACCTTCGCAATTGAGCATTCTCACTTCTCAGTGGCTGCAGGGCCAGTGCTATTTCAACTTCTACATTTGGGTGGCCACTCACTGCTGAAAATCCAGATATGCATGCCTCTATTTCTGTTACCAATCTCTCAACTTCTGAATCCTCTGTAAAAGGCAGTTTAGTTAAATCAGTATTTTAAATTGAAAAGATTATTAGCATATGTTATTAAAAGTCTTTATAGATAAATATATACTCACTATACATTTCAACTCCATTACTCATGAGTATTATACAAATTCTATTTGCCTTTATCCTATTGTCTGTATTTGCTTACCCAGAACAATTCTACAGAAGTTACATTGAGGAAGGAAAGATTAAGCTTAAATCAAAGTATTATTATAGTGATTTTTTTCAGTTAAATGACATGGGAAACAGATGCATGATTTATTGTATTTAACATGTTTTAAATTGTATATGTATAGTTATAAAAGCTAAATTGAGTTAATAGACATGCACTGCCTCATATTAAATTTTTGTGGTGAGAAGGCTGGCAACCTAATCTCTTAGCAATTGAAAATTACACTGTTATTTATTATATCATTATTGCAGTCACCATACTTCACATTAGATCTCTTGATTTTTAAGTCCTTCCTCCTCTCTAATTGAGATTTTTTTATTTATTATACTTTGGCCAACATTTCAATTACTTCAGTCTTGAAGCCTATGTTTCTTCATAGCTAAACAGAGGTAAAAATCAATCTGTCATTGGGTTAGTGAGATTAGAATGAGATACTGTTATCCAAAACTCAATTTCCTTCCCTAAAGTGGAGCCCATTCATTATCAGACTGCTGTGAGACTCGGGTGAGGTCACCCATGAGAAATACAGCACATTGTTGGGCCATGGTGAGTATTAAAGACTTCTAACATTGGCACTATTGCTACCACTATTGCTATCATGATTAAACATCTGGTTAAAAGAGAAAGAGCAAGTGTGGTGGTACACGCTTAATCCCAGTACTTGAGAGACAGAGGCAGGTGGGTTTCTGTACGTTCAAGTCCAGGCTGGGTCTACATAGCAAGTCCCTATGTCAAACAAACAAACAAACAACAACAAACAAAACAAAAATGAGAAAACAATCTGTCTAATCTGAAGCTCTGGAAACATAACAATTTTAGTACACTTACCCTAGCTCTTAACTGCTGTCTTTCCAAGGATTTTGGGATTCTGCACGTATGTCAGCCTGTATAAATGGCAGCTATTCTGTTCTACTGTCAATTACTGTGCTTTCTACTCAAGGCTCTGAGTATCTGCATTTCATGCCAAGCAAAAGCCACTACTTTAGAAAAAAGCATACACGATGAAAACATAAACGTGGCTCACAGATATTTTATTGGTATAAGAGAAAAATACTAAACATAAACTAAAAGGCCAGTAAGTGGCATGGGTTATTATGCAAAGTGAAATCTGTTGAACAATTTGGAAGGACATTCACATCTTTGTTAAATAGAAAAGCAGACATCTAACTACTACAATTTTCTTCCTATGGATTCTCTGTACTGGATCTTTTCAAGTCTGTCTGCATTAAATACAATGAATACACACTTACAAGCACTTGCTATTCCTCAACACATGTCAAGTCCACAGGAAAGAAGGGTTCCAGGCCTGGAACCCTAGTACACAGGCAGTGGAGGAAGACCAGGCGTGCAACATCATCATCAGCTACTGAGCATGGAAGCCATTTTAAGACTACATGGGGCCCTGTCTCAAGAAACAACACACAGAATTCTTTTCCTTACTGGGTCAAGAAATGGTTCTTTGAAAAACTCCAGACACTCCCTATCAACCACTGTCATTTGAACAATAGCTAGAAAACATAACACTGCTATTAATCACTATGCTACATTACATTAAAGTTTGAAATGGTCATCTACCTTGTTCTGTGACCAGGGCCTTGAGCTCTCCCAACAAGCACTTGGCAATTCTGACTTTTTCAGCAGTGTGGCTCACATTTTCTGCCTGCTGCACATTCTTGGCTATTTTTGCATCTTGCACATGCATGCTTAAATACTTTCCTTCACTTGTGGCCTCTCCAATTAGTTCTCTGGCACATTTTTCTTCATTAGTGGCCAAGAAGGCTGGCTGTAACTGAGTGGGGCTTTGGTGTGCCTGACTGTCCGAGACAGCATCTTTTCCATGAGCTGGAAACAGAGACATATGTGTTTGGAAACACTTTAGTAGGTCTGCTTCCTTAGGAGCTCTTTGTTGTGGCAGAATCCAATTAGCAAGACTCAGCTGCTGAGGCGTTGGAACAGCTGCTTTGTCAATGTGGGGAAGGCTACCCAGAATTCCAGAATGAACACTAACTGAATTCCTGGGAATATCAGGGCAGTTCACAGAGCTTGTTTGATCTTGTGATCCAAGATGGTTATCACCATCAGTCTGAACTTCCTAAGCAAGAAGGGGAAAAAAAAAAAAAACTTTCAAAAGTAAGAACAGTCATTTGTAAACTACAAAAACAGAAATCAATAATATTAGAAAATAATTTTCTACCATTAAAAACCAATTTTGTGATATTTAGGCTTACAAGCAAGTTGGATTTCTCCACTGCACAAAAAGACTAGCTTAAGTAGCTCACTCTGCAACCTGGGAACATCATAAGGTCATGGTGAAAATAGATTGTTGACAAATACCATACATGCTTTAAAGGCATAAAAAAATTAGCCCACATTTGGACTGAAACAAATATTTTCATTTTGAGAAACACTGTAAGAAGCAAGTTAAGAGGCTGGAGAGACAGATCATGTGTTAAGAGTACTTGCTACTCTTGCAGAGAACCTGGGTTCAGTTCCCAGAATCCACGACTGCTCACAACCTTCTTTAACTCCAATGCGATCATGCAGGGGCTGCAGACAAACGTGCAGGTAAAATCCCCACAAAAAAGAAAACTAAGTATTTCATTTAAAAAGCACATGTACAGAACTTTAAAAAAGATATGCTCAGTTAGGGATGTAGCTCAGTGGTAGTATGCTTGTCTAGCGTGTATAAAGTCTGAGTTCAATTTTTAGTACCACAGAAAATGAAAATGGATGTGTCTAAAGAACGTATATGAACATGCTATTACAGTAAAAAAAATTAGCTGTTATTTCAATATCAAATCAAAGACTAGTGATTTTATTATACAACTTAGCTCAAAGACATTTGTCTTAAAAGAAAAATACCCACAAAACACAGCTTTAATATATAAAAAGCATGTGTTTAAGCATGGTGGCACACACCTTTAACCCAGAGTTTAGGAGGCAGAGGCAAGCAGATCTCTGTGAATTCAAGGCCAGCCTGGTCTACAAAGCAAGTTCCAGAACAGCCAGGGCTATTACTTGAAGAAACCCTATCTCAAAATACAAAAAACAAACAAGCAAAAAACCAGTCATACTAATGTATTAAGTGGCAAAACAAACAAATAAACAAAAAAACCAGCACATAACTGTATAAAAGTATAGCTCTCATTTTAAAAAGAGAGCAAATTTAGGGTACTGGCTGGGCTTCATTTCTTCTTTCTCATGATTGCTTCTCAATAACACCTATTGTTCTTAATAGGTAGTAAAACTTTTCTAATGCAAAAATACATAAAATTGGTTTTACATCCTGGTACAATTGATTAGTCAAGTCAATATTCCACTGCAAAAACGACAATTTCTATAAGCAAGCTATTTTACTTGTTTAGTATACAAACTATACCCACAGAGTGAACCATTAGAGGGCAGGACGGTTGCTGAGGTGACCAGAGTGAAGGTGAAGCATAACAGCCATAACCAGAATAAGGTGTTGTCTGAGATTCTAAAAAGAAGTAAAAACCAAAAAGCATATGTATCATTCACATTTTATAGTGCTTTAATAACAAAGAGTCATGGTTTACATTCAATATTCAAGTAGCATACTAACCTAAACCAGATACAGTATGACACGCAGTAGGCATTCCATTGGGGGCATTTTTTGAAGCCAAGGTATTCATCAGTGACATTTGAGTCTGCACATGCTCACAGAGGGCTTGGTATATTATCGGTGAGTACATTCTATAATGGTCTTGTAATGACCAATGCTGTGCTATGTCTGATGTGTCTCTTTCACTTCCAGTGCAAGCTTCATTAGATATCCATTTCTTATTTTCTGAAGATACTAATGTGGAAAAAGGAAGTAAGTTCTTAAATATGAATCTTGACCAACATTTACCCTAATACCTTAGGGGCAAAAAAAAAAAAAAAAAAAAAAAAAAAAAAAAGACTCTCAGATGTAGTACAACTGATTATAGAAGAGATTTACTGTAACTCACTGAAGAAATTATCCCAAGTTCTTCTGAAAGTATTTAATGAATTACATTTCCTTTCCCCAGTCAAAATTCTGATGAATTTTCTTAAAATCTCTGCTACTTGAAAAAATAAAAACCTCCCTTTAGTTATAACACCTGTTACAGGTGTTGTGTTATCATGGATGGTCAATAAGCCTCTCACCCATTCCCTTGTCCAGTTCTTCTCAGTGGGAAATAGAATAGGAAAGGCGGGACACTTTGTAACTTTCTGTTTTCATAGGAAGAAGAAAGAAGGAGGCAGGAGGAAGGACAAGAAAGCTTTTTTTTTTTTTAAACCGATGAGTCTAGCGACTACTTATCACCATCCTAGAACACACAGCTTTACTTAAATCACATACCATACATATATTGGACTGTGTTACTTTTTGTTTGTTTGTTTTGTCTTTGCCCTCTGTAACTCCAGCTTCTCTAGGCAGGGTTGTTTTTTACACTTCATTATTAAAACCCTCACTAGTGCATATGCAATGTGTAAGCCTGGTATTAAGCTAAAGAATGAAAAAGTTTCTGATACAGCACTGTTCTATAACTAGTATAAAAAAAAATCTAAATTGAATTTCCTGTCTAACAAGACCCTGCCTTTCCAAATGTTTGCTAAATTGCATTAATAGAAATGAGAGTGTGTGGTAGATCATAAGTTATCAGGATACACAATAGAATTTGAAAAACAGCTTGGGCTGACACCTACAAAAGACACATACAAGCTATGACATACATGAGCACTTATGACTACTAAAGGACATACACGAAAATGTTCACTTACTAGCTGAGCAACCTTTCTTTACCTCCTCTTTCTTATTAGAAAAACGGTTAAAAGAATGGTTTTAAAAAATGATTACAATACAGCTTCTTCAGCAGAGTGGATTTAGTTAGGGTTAGCTGGAGACGTTGAGGCCTAACTCCTAGTCTGACATAATAGTGTTACTTCTGCAGGAAGCATGGATGAGGTGACAAAGTCCTTACAAAGATGAATTCAGACATTCCAGTCTTCCAGAGAGAATGTACCTGCTGCATCTGCACGGAGTCACCTAACAGACCCAGGCACCACAGAAGGCAGGTGCAGCTTTTGCAGGCCCTGTCCCCACCTTTCCTGGAAAGAAGTCCAAACTCTGTTTGTTGCCTGCTATGCAGGAGACTATCACAGCAGTGAGTCTTCAAAACCAGCGATCTTGTGAAAAATGTATGTACTGCTAGAAAAGATAGTCATAGGCAACGCCTGAACATGAAGGAACCCAACCCTCAGGGACACAAGGCTCACAGACAATGTCCCACTGAAATGGCTATAGGAAGCTCCTATACCAAATGGAATCTTAAGGGACAACATCCAAGGAAACTAGAGAGATCTAATGAGGGGAGCAGAAAAACCAACTGATGGATTTGGAGAGTCCCTTTAATAATTAAACAACCACAATAAGCCGTTTAACAATGTGAGAGAGAAGTCTGATGTTTAGAAAAAGAATCTTTAAATTCTGACAGGCATTACTGGGAGTATGGAAAGCCCAAGGCTTCATTTTTGGGAAACCCTATTAGAAGGTGAATGTGAATTTAGAACTACACTCTAGAAGCTGGGGGTGGTGGTGGTGGTTGTAGGATAATCATTAGTCTCCTCCACCTCCCTAACGTTTCATTCCTGGATGGAAACCTCCAGGAAAGGCTGGTGTATTCTGTAATTCTGAGAATGGAAGAGTGAGTTTGCTTAATGTTGCCAACCACCACTTCACATGGAGGTTCCTTGCTTACTCCTCCAATTTCCCTGTCATTCTTTAATTCCATCCCCAGCACTGTCACACATTATAAAAACCTGACTGTTTGCTTGGGAACTCCTTGATCTGACAAAGCCTCTCAGTTAAAGTGAATCAATAACACTGTACTTGTCTTTTTCTACTTTAATGTAATCACATTATTACAAAGAGAGTAAAATGCAAATAAAAATCACCAACCTCAAGATTCTTGAGCTGTAAATAACATTTGGCAACTTCTTAGAACAACATGTGATACATAGTAAAAACTCAACATACTATACCATCAACTAGTTTCAAATTAGTCAGATAAGAAAATATTTCATATTAATAAATCTTGCTATCTAAACATGATCTCTGAGATGATTAAAACCCAGAGCAATAATGGATCTTCTCTACCACATGAGCTACAACAAAACTAGCTAAAAAAAATTTCCCATAAAGTATCAGTTTTTACTGAAAGTACAATTTTATAATAGAAAAATATCCTCTAAAAATATTTTAACTTTGAAATCTGAGGTGAAACAGAGCATAGTCCATAACCACAGTGATCACAGCCTTGTCCTCTCTCTGACTCCTAGGCCTCTCTTTTTAGACTTCCTTTGGTTCCTTAAGAACTATCTAACCTGAGGAATTCTAATTTCATGTTCACGGGCTCAAGTTCTCCAGTCATTAGGCCTCCTCCTCCCTCCTTTCTGCAGTCTCTTATCTAGCTGAGCTACACATGCTCTGTCTCTGCCAGCAGATGTCACCATCCAACACAAATTAGCAAATTCCAGACGTGTTCCAACCCCCCCCCCACCCAAAAACAAAAACCTAAACCTCCAAACAAGCTTCTTTCAATCTTAAAAGGCCAGAGTCCACATTAAAGGCCTACTGAGCTAAATGGTCTCCATCACAGCTACTCAGTACCACCCCCACAGCATAAAAGCAGCCATGGAAAATACACGAACAGTAGGTTCTAACAAAACTTTAGTTACAAAATAAAATTAGATATTATTTCTAAAAACACAACTGGCTATATGGTACTGATCTAGTTAAAACTGATACTGTCCAACAGAAACATAATGTAAGCAATATATGTAATTTAAAATTTTAAGTAGTCACATTAAAAAGTTAAAAGAATGACTTACTTCTCATGTTTTACTTAAGTGTAGCCACAGTTGCGGCTGCAGTTAAATAGGATATTTCTTACCTACCATGTAAAAGGCCTTGTGTTTGATTCCCAACACCACAAAAGTAAATAAGTAAATGTAGCCAGAATACTAACATTTCAGTGTGTAATGTCCTGAACAAAACACTTTTTGTACTAAATCTTCAAAATCCAGCATCTATTTTACACAAAGTACACTTTACACCAGATGCTAGTCATCAGAAATATTTCATCTCTACTTAAACTGACTATAATTTATAGTTGAAAGAGTGGATTTATACATGCAAATCATTCCAAAATTCTTATAATTGCATCAATATCAATTTTCAAATTCATTAAAATTTCAGCCTAGGGGTTAGAAAGATTGCTTAGTCAGTAAAGTGCCTGCTGTTCAAACACAAGAACCTGCGTCTGGATCCAAGACTGGCAAGGGCTGACGACAGCACAGCCCTTAACCCAAGCCCTGGGGAGGCAGGGACAGAGAGATCCATGAAGCTCACTGCCAGCTAACCAAGTCAGATCCACAAGCTTCAGGTTCAGTGAGAGAAAATGCCTCAAAATAAAGGTAAGGAGTGAATAAGGAAAGACAGATACAATGTTTATGCAATGGGTACACAGCACACACACACACACAACCTTTAAGAAAATATTGGGAAAATGCTTACATTTTTCTTTTCGGACCACTGAAGGAGTATGTTTTCCAGGTCCTTTCTTTTTAGCTCTGCAGTTTTTGCCTTCTAAAGGTCTGGCATTGCATCTATTTTCCAAATACATTATTTCTGAACCTGTAATAATAAAAACAAACATTGTAAACATTAAAAAGAACTAGTTCACTGATAAAAGGTGATCAGCAAAGAACTTTAAAAATAGAACCTGGATTTTCATTTTTCAAAATGTCCCGCAGCAAAGAAGCACAGCCATCTAGTCCCTGCACAGCCTCTGTCTAGAAGAAGAAATCTGTTAGAGGTAAGATACACCACGCCCCTTCAAATGCATTTCTCTTCTCTTCTTTTTTCTCTTTTGGTCTTTCAAGACAGGGTTTCTCTGTGTAACCCTGGCTGTCCTGGAACTCATCCTGTAGACCAGGCTGGCCTTGAACTCAGAGATATGTCTGCTATTGCCTCCCAAATGCTGGGATTAAGGATGTGTACCACCACTGCCTGCTCATACACATTTCTTTATAAGCAATTTATTATTGGTAGAAAACATGTCTTAAAGCAACAGCTTACATACTTCCTTGGTGCAAAAGATACTTTACCTTTGGACTGTAGTCCCACTTCTTAGCTTTAAGCTGAGACTGATTAAACTAGTATATTGTATCTATTCACTTAACTTACTGTATCCATTACCTGACTTTCTGAATCAGAATAAACAGGACAGGTAGAATCTGCATTCAAATGTGCTGTTTTTCTTGAGTGGGTCCTAGAAAACAAAAATGATACCCTTTAAAAACATTGTTAGTATCTTTTTCTCAAAATATGTAAATAATCATTTCTTTTCCAGTAAAAACTGGAGAATAAAGCTCATCTAACCACATGTGAAGGGAATAGGACACTGGAGATTGTGAAGACTACTAGACACAAAATCACTCACCCAGGCTGGCATGGCAATATTCTGAGAACATCTCTTACATTCTGAGACTGAAAACTTTTGCTGGACCTCACAGCCAAAGTGAATAACGTACCTTGAGGTTATGTAAGACTAAGACTGCTGTCCTACTGTGTGTTCAGCCTGTATGTTTAACCAGCCTTTAAGAGAGCAATGAACACTGAACCTAACAGCCTTTGATTTCCCAGGTAATCAACTTTTACAACCTAAGCCAATGCACAGCTGTAATCTTATGTCCTCTTCCATGCCCCTAACCCATGCCTGTGTATCATTATAAAGCAGCCAACACAGAAGTTGAAAGCAGCTTCCTAAAATCTACCACTTAAAGGTTGGAAGCAACCATTATGGCTACTGGCTGACAAGCAATGTTGTCTGGGTGAGTGGGAGTGACATAATCCCTTGTAAAACTCAGTTACAAAGATTTCCATAAAGTATCCTGTTCCTTCCCCATGTGATGCTTTGTGTGTGGTCCAAGAAATTCAGAGCAAAGGCCTCTGTATTTATACACAGATACAGACAACAGACAGACACATACAGACACAAGGACTCGCTCACAAGAGAGACTCAGGCAGGCAAAGATTCAGACTCATAAAACAGGCAGAGGAAGGGGACACAGGGAGCATGCATGATGGAAGAATCCAAATCTGTACTCACTCTTGGTTCAAGGGCTCCAGGGGAAGTGCTTTTCTTTCCTTGGTGTGACACTGATGTATTACTAGTGAGTTGCATTTATCACTAACGATAATCTACCCAACGATAATAACACCCAACCACTTGTGGAGGCAGAGCCCACTATTTTCTTGAGGTAGGCAAAATATAGTCAAGCCCCAACACCTGAAAATTTAAGAGTTCCTGAACTTAGAAACTGAGAAGTACTCACCCTTTCTTTCCATGTGTTAACTTAGATCCCGGGCACCTTCCTGCAGATATTACCTATGACATAATATATTATATTACAGTAGGTACATAATTATTGTTCTACTAAGTCACCATTCTGACATTCCTGAAATATCTTTTTTTGGTTTTTTGTTTTTTTTGTTTTGTTTTTGTTTTTCACATAGCCAAAGTGAAACATAGTTTTCACCCCCTGGCAATCACTTTTCTACTCTCTTAAAAATTTGACTTTAGAAACCACTTGGACATGAAATATCTGCCCTTCTGTGACTAACAGAGTATCTTTAACCTTCATCTGTACTGTAGCATAAACCAAAACTTCCTTTCTTTTATGAGGTTGACTATATTCCTTTCTATGTAGGTAGCATACCACTTACTCTTTACAAATGGGAAGTATCTTAAAAATCCACAATTTAGCTTTTATACAATAAATTTGTTCTACATGCGATGTGAGGAAAGCAGGACATGCATTTGTTTCTTTAGTTTATTTCTTATGTCTGTAAAGAAAACTCTTACTATTTTTAAGTCAAAAGGATCTATTACCATTATATAAGACTATACTCAATCCTTGAGTATGTTCTAAACTCTCCAAATTCTGATACATGTAATTCAAGATCCAGGACAAAGGGGTGGGGAAGGCACTTCAGTGGAAAAGGGCCCATCCAGCATCCACAAAGCCAGGCAGACAGCTCAGAGGGTAAACTGACTGCAGCTCAAGCATGAGAACTGAGTTCAGCACCCCAGCATCCACACAAAAGCCAGACTTTGGGGCCCCTGTCTAGAGCCCTAGCAATGGAGTGGAGGGTGGAGACCCCTGGATCCTGGTGGTGATCACTGGCCAGCCAGTCTAGCCAAAACAGTGGAGAGCTTCAGGTTCAGTTCAAGATCCTGTCTCAAAAAGTAGGGTGGAGAGTATTAGAGAAAGGAAATTGATCCCTGACCTCCACACACAGATGCAGAGGTGATTGCACCCATTCACATGCACTAAAAAGTACCAACTTTCTCCATGCTTTGGTTAGATCTCCTAACTTCTTGCACGGTTCAACAAACTAGCACATTAAAAACTGCCTTGCTGGTCAGTGGCAGCTCACGCCTTTAATCCCAACATGCAGGAGGCAGAGACAGATAGTCCTCTGAGTTCGAGGCCAGCCTGATCTACAGAGCAAGTTCCAGAAGTTCCAGGACAGCCAAGGCCACACACAGAGACACTGTCTAGAAAAACAACAACCAAACCAAACCAAACAAACAAAACAAAACAAACAAACAAACAAAAAAACAAAAATAAAAAAAAGAAAAAAGAAAAGAAAAGCAAACCCCAGTTTTTTTTCTATATCCCATTCTCTCATTTTTTTTAAACTCAAATAACATTTTAAGCCTGCATTTTAAACCTCATATAGGTGGGATAGCTTTTCTATAGGAAAGATGTTCATTTGCTTTTACATGCACTCAGCATCCTGGAAGCTGTGCAAGAAAGCTGTCTTCAAGCAGGAAAACTGGGTATCTGGAGAAGCAGATAAGAGAGACTTCCAGAGCACACAATAGGTGAACTTTCCTTATCATATACACTTATCTCTTAATAACTTTGTATCTGAAAAATAAAATTTCAAGACATCAAAGCCCATAATCCTCCCCTCATTCCATGATTAGATCCACTCAATGTTGGCATTCTTTGCACATTTACATTTCTCTGTTTGGACACACACATACACACACGTTTGCATTTTTTTGCCCCTTCTAATAATGTTATTGAGAATACATTTTTACAAAACTGGATTGGTATGAGTTACATTTTTTGAGATCCCTTGGGATCTGATGGAGTGTCATGAATCTACAACATACAATCATACAAAAACAAAGTGTTTTACCTGACACAAATATGTCTCAAAACAGAGACGATTATTTTTTGTCTGCCCATTTCAAAATAAGTCAGTCATAATATTCCTAATTGTTTCTTAAGAACAAAATTCCCTAATATAGCCATAAAAGTTCAAAACTTTGAGATCGAATCTACTCTAGATAGACCTGATTCATATTATACTCATTCCAATTTGTCCTTTATAGAAAATAAAGACAAAAGAGTTAGTAGTTCATATCCAGTCCAGGATCACACATTGCACTAAATTGCTATGGTTCTTGAATCTCCTTAAATCCAAATTCCTTGGGCTGTCATTATCTTCCATAGCTTTGACATACTTAAAAAGTAAAGGCTAGTAATTTTGCATAATGGTTCCCTGAACATTTAGATTGACCGTTTCCTCTGATCAGATTCCAGTTATGCATTTCTGGCAGGAGTACAAGAGATGTGTTATTTTCAATACTAACAAGCAACCGACATTAGTTTGTCCTGTTACTGGTGATATAAATGGATTTATGATGGTGTTTGCCAGGATTTTCATCATTAAGATTATTATTTTTGCTTTTCTAATTGTTTTGTAAGATACCCTGACATGATGTGGCTATCTTCAAACTTTCACTTAGTAGTCTGAACATCCATTTATGGTTCCTGTTTAGGTCAATGGTTTATCAAACATTGATTTATTTATTTTGCTATACAAGTTACTCTACATTTATTAGCTAATTTCAATTAATAAATTATAGGACTAGGGCAGGACCTTTCTTTCTTCCTTGTTAATTGGTTAGTGTAAAGACATTGATTCCTATTCCAGTCAACCAACCATATATGATCCATTATAAGTACTGATGCCCATATGTAAACAAATATACAAGTGGATACAATATAAAAAGTGAAAAAGAAATCAAGAAAGGATAAACTGAATGCAGATAATGGACATGGCTATGAAAGAGGATTTAAAATTAATTGCTTTTCTAGTTCTTGCCATGGCTTTTTCATTTTTTGGTGATGGGAAAGTACATTAAATGTATTTAATAGTTAAAGTATAAAATCCAATATGAAGCTTCACAGCCTCAGAATGGTTATTCTAACTGTTCAGAAGTTCACTGAGTTGTACAGACTTTGAGTCTGGATAATTATCATTTGTGATTCTTTCTATTAGCAAGTTTTAAATAATAAAGTTTATAAAACATGTTCTTCAAAAAAACTGATAGTCAAGTTGTTCCAGAGTCAGTCAAAGGAAGCTCCACCAAGTTGGATACTTTATCATTTTTAACCAAACCCCAGAATTTTTTGAACTATCTTATTTTTTATAAAGACTGTCATAAAAATATTTCATACTTCATTTATCTTAAGAAAATAAAATATTAACTGAAAAGAAAAATATCGGCTCAGGAACCCCAAGACCAAGTCTCAAGACAAAGGAGACTTATTTGCCCCAGAGGAGACAAAGACAGGAGAGAGAGAAGGGGAGGGGAACAAAGGAAAGGTTGTTTGTCTCAAGAGGACAAAGGACCACCTCTGACCATAGGAAAATGACGGTTTATAGCGGTACAAGGGCAAACTCCCTGTTAGGATGTGTGTGCAACTTTAACTGGGCATGTTAATTAGAGCAGCCAAAGGGGGTTTTGATTATTGGACTTCAACACTTTGACAGGTGGACCATGGTAGCAGCCTCAGGAGGAGAAAGTGTCCAAATATAGGAATAGACCTCAGTGGCTACCTTTAGGAATGTAAGCTAACAGTTTTTTAGCAAGGCAGAGGGAATAAGAGAGAAGGCCAAGACCTGTCAGAGGCATATGCTTGACTAGGCTACTGTCCCTTCATTAACTATAGGCACAGCAGTACACAGATTTCTAGATTTCATGATACATTTAAAACTTAATACCTATTGAATAGTAACCCCATGTTCTCCCCAGCCCGGTCTCTGCAGCCACCATTCTACTCTCCTTCTGAACTAGACTACTTCAGGTCTTACATGTAAGTCCAGTAATGCAATGTCTGTCTTGTCACATGCAAGTTCAGGCATGTGTATCTGTCCCTCTAGGGCTAGCTTATTTCCATTGAGAACTTCTCAAACTTCACACATGCTAATGTACATGGCAGAATTTCTCTAAGGCCGAATAATATTCCAAAAGTTGTATATAACCCTTCATTTCTTTATCCATTCACTTGCAGACATTTAGGTTGTTTCTATGTCTTGACTATTGTGAATACTTCGACATTAAAAGAAAATGCAAACAGCTCTTCAAAATCTTGATTTCAATTCTTTTGAATAAATACCTAACAATGGAGCTGGCAGGGTCATAATCAGCTGTACTTTAAATAGTTTGGTTTTATGAAGCAAGATTTCACTGTTATTCAAGCTGGCCTCAAACTCCAACTTCCTGCCTCAGGTCCCCAAGTACTAGGACTACAGTTGTCTATGGCTATGCTTGGCTTATTTTCTGAGGAAATGTCATCCAATTTTTCACAGTAGCTGTACTATTTATATTCCCATCAGGACTGTATACAAGGGTATCAACTTCTCAACCTTCTCACTCATACTTATTTTGTGCTAGAAAATATCTCATGGCTTTAATTTTCATTTCTTTAATGGCTATCGTATATATTCATCTACATATGGGCAATATGCATCCATTCACAAAAGAAGCCTCAAGACAGGTCATGAAAAAAGAGTGCAAAATGCACATTAGGAAAGACATCATTATAAATGTATTGATAAATGATGGAAAACAAAATCAAACCCTAATCTATCATATATGCCAAGTGTTTTCTAAATCTCCAAGACAGGGATGGAATATTCTATGAGTAGTAGACTAGTACCATGCCCAACTGGAAGCGATTTGATTACAAGATATGGAAGGTGGCCTGAAGCACACCCAACTAATGGAGATGTGAGGGCCATAGACACAGATTCTAGAGACAGTTCTAGTGCTGAGGGATAGATGGAAAATGGAATTATCAGGAATTATTATAATGTGAAAAGACATGGAAACATGTAAGCACCCAGGGCCAAAACTAGTTTAGCTGTGTTGGACCTAGTTGGGTTGGGAGCGGGGCTGAAGAGGATCTTAAATAGTTCCGTTCCAATGCAAAGAATATTTGCCTTAAAATAGGTTTCCCTGTCATAGTTTGGGCAGTTATTCGATTACATCAAGATTACATTTGAGAACGGTCGGGCTGGTATGGGCACTTATTGGGAGACTTCAACAACTAAGAGAGATCGGAAAACAGAAGCACTGGGGGCAAGGATTAACTAAAGCTAAGAGAAGTCACTGCACCAGTGATAAGGACTGGGGTTCGAACCTGGGACCTGACACCAAACTCAGCGTTGTTTAGACGCCTGAAACAAAGCACCTAGCGACGTCCTCAGCGCTTTGAGAGCCGCTGCAGTCTTTGGTATTATTTTTTTCTAGCACCTTCCTAAGTGCCCTTAGTCCCTCGCCACCCCACCGTGGACTCATCGGGTCCACAGCCCTCACCTGGCCCGGTCGAGATCCGGACCTGACCATTTCTCTCAGCTTCAGAACAGCCCAGACGTAGGGAAACCAAGCTGTAAAGAAAAAAGGATTAACCGCCGAGGCGTCCGGACCGCCCTTGTCCCGCCCCCCAAGCTTCCGCTTCCGGGAAGGCGCCCGCCGAACGCCGCGCCTCATGGCCTCCTTGGCGCTAAGGTCTTTCCTTCGGGTCCGAACCTGGCTACCTGGGCGTGCGCAACAGACTCCGCGTTCTCCAGCTCGTCACACCCGGGCGGAGAGTCCGGGAAGACAAGAGACTGCCCGCGGGGCGGGGCGGACATGTGTGGGGCTGGTGTTCGGGGCGGGGCCTGACGGGAGGGGCGGGGCGGACACGTGGGTGTGCTTGGGGCGGGGCCTGACGGGAGGGGCGGGGCGGGCACGTGGGTTTGCTCAGGGCGGATGCGTTGGGGGAGCGCGGGGCGGGGCCTGACGGGAGGGGCGGGGCGAGGAGCTGAGGCTCTATTCTAGGTGGACCCACATGCAACATCCAATGGAACTCATTGGCCCGCAGGACCTGTTTCAACTGGTTGAGGTGGGAACCAGCCAGCACCAGAGGAAGGGTCTGTCATAGAGGACTACTGCTGGATTTCAGAAATAACTTAAAGCCTTGTGTGCTGTTTTGAATGTATTTGTTCTTGATACTCAATAAAAAAATCAAACCTCGGTATCAATTACTTGTGATTCTGATGGCAGTTTCAGAATTATTCTCTGTGGCCTCTCTACCCAGTGTTCAATAGTTGGGATTTTGGGTTTCTTCTGTGCATGGCTGGGTTGTCTGCTCTTCTATTAAGATAACTGCTGTTGACAGAGAATGGTAATATTTTACTACTGATAGCTGTGCCTAATAGAGAATGGTGTTGAAAATGCTCTATCCGGGATTGTTTTAAGTCAAGTTAGAGAGAAATTAAATCAGTTGATTCTTCTTTCTATGGTTAAATAGCTACCTTTGTAAGAAGTGTTGTAAGAAGTGTCTACCTCAGGGACTGTAGAGATGCTTTCCTGCTCTTGCAGAGGACCCAGGTTGGGTATCCACATCCATAGATTACAACCACCTGACTCCAGTTTCAGAAGATCTAGTGCCCTCTTCTGGCCTCTTCAGGCACTAGGCATACAAGTGGTGCACATACATAATGAGGCGCTCATTATGCTCTTGCAGATCGTCTGGGTTCAATTCCTTGAACCAACATGGCAGCTCACAACTGTCTGTAACTTCAGTTCCAGGGAACCCAATGCTCTCACCAGACACCACACAGCACAGAGTACACAAACACACAAGGAAAACACCTATACACATAAAAATATATTAATAAGTGAAAAATAAAGTACATAAATATATAAAATGAAATACATATATACCTATTCTACAAGTAAAATCTTTCTACCTATATATACTACACACTCCTACTAGAGTGATTTTAGGAAATGAGTGTTTATTGTGTTGGCCACTAGGTGGCATGTTCCCCAGGATATCTATGAATGCCACCCAAAACAAACCTTAAACTTATTTAAGACATGATGAGCTGAAGATTTTGCTGTAAAAAAAAAAAAAAACTATTGGGGTTCTCCAGTGTGAACTTTATAGATGGCAACCTAATGACTCAATTTAAAAAGGCTAATACACCTAAATAACCCTCAAATTCTTTCTCCATCCCTCTGATAAGTAAGTGTTCACCTGAAATTAAATGTTTCTCTTTCTTTTTAAGTGTGTGTGTGTGTGTGTGTGTGTGTGTGTGTGTGTGTGTGTATGTGTGTGTGTTGGGTGAGGCAGACCTCAGCCAAATTCCCCAGGATAATTATCCCAGACTCTTCCCTTGATAGACAGTTACCCATCCTTAGGGGAGATGTCACAAGTACTTTATGGCCTGCTGACCTCTATGCTGTGGTCAGAGACCACACTTAGATTCTAGGTCTAGCTATAGACCCTCCCTCATGGTCACATGTACTTTGTAAAGGAGTCTCCATGTAGTCACACCTTAAGCTTCATGGTGCACCTGGAATTGTTGCCTGGAAACCTTTTACCAGTCTGTACTGTTTTAAAAATGCTGACAATGAACCACCTGGCATTAGAGTCCCCGAAGTCTGGTCCAGGTCCACAGAATCAGTCTGCCCCAGGGTTTCACTCTGGTCTCCCATGTGATGCCTGCAGGGACCCCCAGGATTTCCTGCAGCTGGAGTTAAGGGTGGCTGTGCACCTCTTGATGTCAGTGTTGGTCACTGAACTCAGGTCTTTTGAAAGAGCAGTAAGTGATCTTAATCACTATGGCATCTCTCTAGCCCTACAGATGTTTTCCTCAATTTGATTTTTTTAAAACATTGTTTTCTTAATTTGTACATACTTACATTTTAAATATATGTAGGAAGAGAAAAGAAGAAGAGTTACCTATAGTTCATGCCACTCTTGTGGTGCATTTCTTTCCAGGCTTTTCCTACTTGAATATTTAGCAATAAATACACTTTGGATATTATTAACATTTCCCCTTAGTAGCACATTAGCTACTAAGAGAATTTCCTATTCCATTTCCCTTTTCATACACAATTACAAAATGGCTGTGTGGGACTCCATTATTCTTTGCTGTTGCTCTTTCTATTTTGGGTTTTTTACTTGATTTTTTTTAAAGCAGTAGAGGGAGATGTCAAAGTGAATTTGGAGAGGGGAGAAGAATATTGCTTTTCTTTCAGGTTTCATGTTTTGATTTAAAATTTTTTATTCCTTGAGAATTTCAAAGCCGTGTACAATATATTTTGATCATTTCTATCTGCCACTTGCCCTCCCAGCTCTCCCAGGATTTCCTCCAAACACATCCCAACTTCATGTCATATATTGATATAGATATGTAGATATCCCAGAGTCCACTAGTGCTGTCTCTGTGCACACAGTAGAGGCACCCATCAGAGTGCAGGCAATTTCCCAGTGGACACACCCCAAAGAAGAAAGAGTCTCCCTCCCCAGCAGCCATCAACTCCCAATTGCTCCTCAGCTGGAGGGGGCCTTCATGAGCCCATCTTTTATCCACAGTGGAATTCTCATTGGTTTGGTCTTGTTCAGCTGTTGTGAGTTCCTGTCATGTCCAACATACATTCTTTATACCTTCTCTTCCATGATATTTCCTGGGCATGGAGAACAATGGAGAGGGGCCGATATAGATGCCACATTTAGGGTATACTGTGCCCATCTCAGTGCCTATCTATGAACACTCAAAGTCATTTATTTTAAACACTAACCACTGCCCACTGCAGAAAGAAGTATCTCTGACCAAGGTTGAGAACATCACAGATCTGTGGGGATAAACATAAACATTCATAAGGATTTGACAATATAATCATTTAGCAAAACAACGATAGTAGATCCCTGACCTTATCACCACCCCCGAAATCTATGAGCTTCCTGGCCATGGGCTTTTCAACAGGTTTACAGTACCAAGTTCTAATTCCCTCCTGTGCAGCAGGCCTCAGATCCAGCCAGAAAGAGTTTGGTTATACACATTACAGTCATGACACTATTGTGCCAGTGGGCACATTGAGAGGGGTATTCAATTCACACAGACAGTATAGTGGGACTAGAAAAGGCCCTGAATATTGACATGGAGAACGGAGATGTGCATAAGGCTGAGACTGTGAAGTCCTCACAGCTTAAGGATTCAGTTTACTATTCCAAAGGCAAAGATGACATTTAAAGGTTTCTGCAGGGTACTGTGAACTGGATGCAGTTCACCAAGACGGCAGGGCAGTGTCATACAGGGATCTTCAGCCTGCAGCAGCCAGCTAAATCCTTTCACTTGCTATTTGATTTGGGGGTGAGGTTGAAAGACACAATCTCAAAGATCAAACTACTGAGTGTTGAAATTCTGAAATCCCAAATGGTAATTCCAACTGGGAGAGGGGGAAAGGCTATTTTAAGAAAGGTATGCAAATTTGGGGAAATAGATGAGTCTGTGGTTGTTTGTGGGATTATGACATCATTTCAGGTGAAATAAGTAACAAGAAACTGGCAAAGCCTCACTTTGGGTATCTGTGATGAAGTCCTGGGGGGAGCTCAGTGTGTGGGTCTGAGGGGAGAGGGAGGAAAGGCCTACCCTCAATGTCGTGGGCATCAACCATTGCAGAGCAGTCAAGATTGGCTTTCTGCAGCTGCTTTCCTGCCACGGTAGATGAACTGAGTACTGAGACACCATGTCCTTCACAGCGCAACGAATTCCCTGCCGCAGTCTTTATGGTGTTTCCGGGGAAGGGCGAACACAGATGTGACTTCTTCCCCACCTCCAGTTTCTGCCCCTCCTGTCTCAGGGACTGACCAATAAGGATGACATCACTCAGACTTATCCTCCAGCTTCAGGACTTGTTTATCCACAGGGATAACTAGCTGGAGACAGAAGAGGAGGCATTTGCCTCTCAGTACCGTCTGGCTGGTGCACTGGGTCTCCACACATACAGATCCTTCTGAGCTCATGGGCTCTAGGTCTCTCCAGCTGTGAATACATACTGTCTCCCTTTGTCTCCAGTCTTAAGGGTGATGATGGTGTGTCAGTCCCTGAGATCCTCAATATTCCTTTACAGCCCCCTCGTCTATGACTCTGTAAAGCTTTTATTTAAAAACTGGGTTGTCTTCTGTTTTTATCTGACAGGAACAGACTGATAGGAAGTCTGTGTTCAGTGTGAGGGCATCGAGAAGGATGGGGAAGAGGTCTAACAGGTGAGGAAGGATGAAAAGGACACATTTGAAAGCACATGGAGGTAAAATGGACAGGACTCAGGGGTTTGGGAAAGCAAGAAGTATGTTCCTTGCCCCTGTTTTGCATGCTTTGATGCAGGGCCAATCAACAATGAGAGGGGAAGCATATGGACTCATTTGCCCCCAGACATTTTATTGTGGGGAAATGCCAAATAGGACGTCTCTGGGGTGCATGCTGAGAGCCTTGAGTCATTCCACAGAGGACTGACTGAGTCAGAGACTGATAGGTATTTGAATCTGGAACTTGGTGAAGACGGTGTGGGCTGAGACACATCTTTTTCATCTGGAAGCTTCTGTGTTTGTTCCCAGGTTAGCTCAAGGAAAGCTTTCCTTCCATCTCCAGCCTGCTCCTTAATACTAGGTTGCATGCCCCAGGCTAAGATGGAATAGCTTCAGTTCTCATCATTATAGTCTTATGGCTAGCTCTGTGTCTGTACTCTCAAGTAG